AGATGACATTTAATGTCTTTAGACTTAAGTTGTTTAGCAATTTTTCTAATTAATTCCATGTAGAGCAGTTCAGTTTTTATATTCTGTGTATTGAGTCTCTGAATAACAGCTTGACTGTCAGAAAACATTCATAGTTCTGAAAAGATTCTTGAATTTAAAAGAGTCAAAGCATTGAAAAAAGTCTTTTCAATTGTAAATAGTTCAGCATCAAACACTTTCATATATTTATCTAATTTTCAAGAATATTTCTGATTTGTTTCTGAAATATAAAGATCTGCATCAGTAGTCAGATTTTCAGACTGTGAATCATCTAAATACATGATTACAGAGTCTTTTAAATTAAAAAGAAGTTGTTGATGATTTTTCTTTGCAAGTCTTCACACTGTTATCATTTTACATTCATCTCATTATTCAAAAAAAATTTGTACAATCTTCTTAATGCTTAGATGCTCATGCTTCATATCATTTAAGATTCATAAATCCCATAACTGATTCTATAATCTCACTAGCTTAACTAAACACATAAAATCTGCCACAGATGCTTCTTTATGAAGATCAGTGACAACATATCCAAAGATTCTGAATAATGTTATAGCAATATAAGTTATCTTTCTCTCTCTCATACTTGAATTTATCTTTGCTGACCCCAACTGGCAAATGGTTTTGACTTTTCGGAAGTGAAAATCAGGGCCGGAGGAAATCGATAGAATATCAGAGAGGTAGAGAATTGATCAGAGAATCAGAGATATCAAACCAATTTTGAAGAGATCTTGTTTTGACTGAGTTGTGCTTGAATTTATCTTTGCTGACCCCAACTGGCCAATGGTTTTGACTTTTCGGAAGTGAAAATCAGGGCAATTTTGAAGAGATCTTGTCTTGACTGAGTTGTGGTTGAATTTATCTTTGCTGACCCCAACTGGCCAATGGTTTTGACTTTTCGGAAGTGAAAATCAGCGCCGGAGAAAATTGATAGGATATCAGGAAGGTAGAGAATTGATCAGAGAATCAGAGATATCCAACTGAATTTAAAAAGATTTTGTTTTGGCTGAGTTGTGATCAAATTTCTATGTTCTGCCGGAATTTTGGCTGTGTTCTGCAGTTGTACCACTTTGATGGGGTATAATAGAGTTTGGTGGAAAAATTATGTAAGCTCAGACTCCAATTCAGCTTTGGTGTTGCTGGTTAAGGCTTAGTAAGCCAGGAACACAAAAACTTTTCACTGTGAAAGACTGATAGAGAGCCACCAAAACTGAGTGAATTCTTAATCAGTTTGAGGATGCAAGTATTTTCCTCTTGGGTATAGATTCTTTAACACAAAAGAAAGCAATTTCCAACGTTTCAGAGCTGTAGTGGAGATGGTTGTGTTGTGGTGACCAGGCAAAGTGCCTGAGTAGCCAAAACTGGCGACCCAGTCTTTGGTGTGAGATTTCCCACCCACCACAGTAAATTGCCGGGCGAAAATGGAGAGAATAACTAAATGAAACAAGAGCTTTCCAATGAATATATTTTCATTAAATTTGACTTAGAATTGATGGTGTTCCATATCAAGTGCTGTGGCTGAATCTTGGTTGTGGAAAAAGAAAGAGAAAAAGAACAAAAAGAGTTAAAAAATATTCAAGTCACTTATTCAAACTATGTTCTATGATCTCAGATCAGATTTCTTCTCTAAAGATTGAAACAGTAACTTCAGAATGGAATAAACCTTGAAGTTCAAGTTGGAATGAAATCATTGACATTTAAATTGATTCAGCAGAGAAGACACTTGCAAAGAAAAATCATCAACAACTTCTTCTCAATTTGAAAGACTCTGTGACCATGTATTCAGATGGTTCACAGTCAGAAAATCTGACTACTGGTGCAGATCTTTATATTTCAGAAATAAATCAAAGATATTCTTGAAGATTGGGCAAACATATGGAAGTGTTTGATGCTGAACTCTTTGCAATTGAAAAAGCTTTCTCCAATGCTTTGACTCTTTCAAATTCAAGAATCTTTTCAGAACTATGGGTGTTTTCTGACAGTCAAGCTGTCATTCAGAGACTCAATGCACAGAATATGAAAGCTGAACTGTTCTACATTGAATCAATTAGAAAAATTGCTAAACAACTTGAGTCTAAAGACATTAAGTGTCATCTTCACTGGGTTTCAGCTCACATGGGCATCTTTGACAATGAAGAAGCTGATATTGCTGCAAAGAAAGCAACTGAATTGAGACAAGATTGTGCTGAAAAGTATGTTTTCTTTGCTTACATCAAGAGATAAATTAAAGAAATGGCAATGCTTGAATGGCTGGAACACATCTTTGAAAATGAAAGTGATGTAAATCACTACTCTCAATTCAATTCAAAATCAAAGTGAAAAGCTTGTTCACTTTCATTCTCCAAACAGATTTGGTCAACAATTATTCAGTTGAAATTGGGTCATGGTTACTTTGGTTCTTACTTAATAAGACTACCAAATCATGATAGGGAAATCTGCAGACACTGTGGCTGCAAAGAAACACCAAAACATTTGCTCATGGATTGTTTAAGTCTGAAAGATGACAGACAACAGTGTTTGAAAGAGTTTAAAATTCCACAACTGTAACTTAAGATTCTATTTAACACTGAATTGAGTTTGAAATGGATGGGAAAGTTTCTTAAACAAACTGAAATAGTCATCAGAAGATGACTTCTGAATGAAACAGACTGAGTATCTTTAAAGATCTCACTTACAATCTCATTATTTGCTTTTAAATTTCTGTAAAGAAAAGACATAAATCACTGCTCTGACACTCTTATATGTTTTTCATTTGTTAATTTGTCTATGATCATGTCTCTGATCATTGTTTTTGTAACTTAGTTAAATTCTGCAAGACAGCTTGCAGGTAGTCTTCATAGTCTCAGACTGCACAAGACTATAATGAATAATAATAATAATAATAATAATAATAATAATAATAATAATCTAGAAACTCTAGATACTGTTGTAGTAATATAAGTTATCTCTTTCTCTTATGCTTAGATCTCTTCATAATCATCTCTCATTCAATCTAATCTCACTTACAAAGATCATAAATGATTGTCATGTTATCTGCAACCACTTAATTCTCACAAAGTGTCAGAGTAATGATTTATATCTTTTGTTTACAAAAAGCTAAATAATAAAAATAAATGAAATATTATATAACAAATCTTTAAAAATACTTAGTCAGTTTAATTCTGAAATCATCTTTGTTAGAATATAACATTCTCAAATATAATCAAATATAAATTATATACTATATATTATTTTATATAACATGTGTATAACATGTATAACTTCTATAAAATTTACAGAGTCATTTACATAAATCTTAATTAAATATAAAGTTTGATCTATAACTCTTTTGAAATTAGTTAAAATCTTATTACATAAAAGTTTATTTCAAACTTTATTTTCTAATAGAGTTACAGTCATAAGATTAATATCATAGTATTTGCTTGTATAAATGATTAATCAAGAAAAGAATAATAAATTGAGATGGCAAATTACATCATAATATGCTATTACATCATATAGAATGTCATCATATGTGACATCATCAATAACATCAAAAAATTCAATGTTGCATAGTTTATTTTCCAGATTAATAAACTATGCACATTGTATTAACTTAACAAGTTTTATAATCAGTTATACCAATTTTTGATAAATCTACATCATAGATATTCTGGTTTATAAAAAGTATCAGCTACTGAAATTAAAATTTATAAAATGTCTCATATAATAATTCAGTTTTCTAAAAGATATAACTACTTTTTACAAAACTATTACAAGTATTGTATAATATACTGCATCATACTGCATTATACATTACATCACACATGATGTAACACTTATAAATCAAGACAAATATGTCATCACTTACATAACTCAAACTCTAAATTCACAGTCTATAAATAAGATCAAAATTCTCACTGCAAAATGTAATTAACAGAACAATTTAACAACTTCTTTAAATATTCATTAACTATTTCTTTTATACTATTGTTTTCTGAAATTTATTATCACCATTTTCCCTCTACTCATTCACCAAAATCTTATATATAACTACATACTTATATATTTATATATATCTATATAGTTATTAGTAAGTATATTCTACTAACTAAGCTTTTGTTATATGAGCTTCTACTGCACATTGACTTGCTCACATTGCTAAATAAATCATGAAAAATGACAATTTACTATGAGAACTACATTATAATTATAGTGAAGTCATTACTCTTACTGTAATCTTACTGTCATATCTACATTTAGAAATTAAGACTTATGAAAAGAGAAATTGAAACTTCATACTATAATCATCATACAATTCTCATACTAAAAGAAGATTTTGAAAGAATTTATTACAATTATAGAGAAGCTGTCACTCTTACTATGATTTTACTTTTTGAGAATTAAAATTTATGAAGAGAAAAAAATCTATAAAACTCTGTACTGCAGTTATCTTACATTCATTTCATTATTTAAAAGAAATGTATGGAATCTCTTTCATACTTAAATAATCATACTTTTAGTCATTTAGAGTTTGTAAACTCTGTGACTAATTACATAATTTTATTAACTTAGCTAAACATATAAAATCTATCACAGACACTTCTTTATGAAGATCAGTGACAACATATTTAGAAACTTCAGATACTATTGTAGCAATATAAGTTATCTCTTTCTCTCTCATACTTAGATCTCTTCATAACTACCTCTCACTCAATTTAACCACGCTTATGAAGACTGATGAACCATTGCCATGTTATCTGCAACCTTGATTCTCACAGTCTAATAAACTTGACACTAACAGTCTAACACCAAAGCTTATAATTACACTATGCTACATTGGGCCTAGCCCATTTCTGCCTCCTCCAGAGTGGGAGGTGTGAGGATGTGAGGCAAAGGATGGTGAACTTTATGTACAGCCGTTATTTAACAATGAATGGGTTTAACATAGAGACATCATGTCAAGAGAGAACATGCAGAAATCAAAGCTCCCTATAATCACTAGGTCTAAGGCGTTTCTGTTTCGCCTGGTGTCGGTGTGGGTTCACCGGTTGTCGAAAATAAGCATTATCTTCTTCCTTAGCAAATGGTTCACTGAATGTGGTACGTTGTTGGTTCGAAAATGTGGCAGTTTCGCTTGGTTGTTGTACTGGAAATGGCTGGAACATCTGACTGTGCATGGGCATAAACCCTTGGCCAGCGAATATGTTTGATGAAATAGGACCGCCCATTGGGACCATAGATTGAATCATATTCTGGTGATAGAGGCTAGGCTGCGCCGCCGTCACAAAGTTAATATTCGACGATTGGTTCCATAAGCCACCAGAACTGGCAAAGGGAGGCGGAAAACAAGATGAGTGGTCCACACTGGCAGACGTTCCGAAGGGATTAAATGGCGTGCGAAAAGGAATAGTAGAAGGATTAGTAATGGAATCCAGTACGTCGGTGCTGCGAGCATAATTCGAGGGGTCTTCAAATCTGGCTTTCTTTAAGGCAGCTGCTGGGAGTGTCTCGTTATGGTGATTTCCCGCATCATCTGCAGGTCTCTTGGGTATAATTTTTGACATTAAATCCGTGGCCAGATGTGGTGAATCACCAGAGGTTCCTTTCTGATTGGGGCTGAGGATTATGGTTGGTTGGAATCCTTGCTTTGCATAATCGGCTTGCTCGGCTTCATATTCTTTAATCCGCAAAATGGCATCTTCATCAACTGAGAGGTTGTCAAGTAATACGCCTTCAGCATTGCATCCTGGGCAAACAAAGTCGCTTTCGATTAATGCATTCGTGATACAATCGTTGCAGTAAGTGCTTCCACAACAAGGAGTCTTAGTGGGAGCGAGAAACATACGTTTATCGGACGGACAGAGAAGATTACGAGATTGAAGGCCTTTAGTACTCTCGATCGCTGCAAGTTCTGCAGCAGCAGCAGCAGAAGCTTTGGCTTTCTCTTGATACAGCTCCCATGACGCTTTATCCGGCTCAGCGATCACAAAATCGCCGTCCGCGTTTACCATGACACCGGACAGTTTTGGGTCCTCGCTTGACTTATCGAACGCTCGTGATTCTGGTTTGTCTACCTGCTTCTGAAACGATCGCGGTATACCGGTTGAGCGTTTTACACGATAGCGGCCGTCGAATCTAGGGTCGTTGTTGGTGGGACATGCCTGAATCCAATGTCCTAATCTTGTTAGTAAGGGCAAGAGGATTGGCATTCAGCATCTCAATACCTTTTTCCCGGCAACGATAACACAGGTAGCCAGGCGGTGGAGGATGGTCGGGAGCATTAGTATTCAATGCTCGATTTCGACTTGACGGAATTGGAGTAGCACTGTATATTCTTAGTGAATGGCTTGAAATGATAGATATCCAACGACAATAACCATGTACATACGTTGCCATATCTTCTTGCTGTTCCTTCCACTGGGATTCTTGAAAATTCAATACAGCCCTGATCTTTTCCTCCTCGGACTGCACGATGTCCAAGTCTGGTATTGAAGCACAGGGATTGTTTCCCGGTCTGTTCATGCCATTTAAGTCGACTCGAATTGAAGGTCGTGCTGTTACTGGCATTTTACCCGATATATAACGAGCAGCGGCACCCTTTCCGGGTCTGGAGGCTGGAAGCCTCCGTGCGATAATAGAGGTGGACCGGGGAATAATTGCGGTGTCATCATTGTATTCTAAATCTACTGTCAGTGTTATAAGTTATGCTGTCGGCTTGAGGTCCTGTCACGTACCTTCGCCGGTATCTTCGTGATAGATAGCAAGATCAAAATCCGAGCCATCGCCTAATTGGTTTTGATTGATAATTTCTCTTTTCAGCTCAAAAACAGAAATACCGGTTCCGTCAAAGGATACCCTTGATGGTTCTCTTTGGGATTTGAATTTGAAATGGACAGAAGAAGTCATGATCACTTGTGCAAACCACAGACAAATGACGGTATCTGATTGTTCCAAACTGGACGTCCTAAAACAGAATAGTAGAAAGGTGTATAGAGATGGGGCACAAGATACAGAAAGACTTTCCTGAACAAGCAATGATTTGAACTAACAGAAGGGATGAAGGGATGAGAGCAAGAAAGGAATTGCACTGTTCAAGGAGAGTACCAAAAGGCCTGGAATCGCAACCGATATGAACCTCCTGTGTACATGAGATAGCTTTTAGCTCCTAAAGGAGAGAATAATCGTGGTATTGGATCCGATCCGAGGCTACCAGCCAAATGAAGAGGTCATCGAGTGAACAAGTTCCAACGTTCCAAATACTCCACTTGCAGGCAAAAACTGCTAAGACAATACCAAGATAAGATATATCGATAAAAAGTCCTACAAGGTCTCACTCAGCAACTGTAGACTGTGTGGAATTGCAGATGTGCAGTCGTGGAAGGAAGGCGAATATATGGTAAACGATGTGGGCCAGAAGAAGAGTTGATGGTAGAAAAACGTGGTGACTTTTGAAAGGAGGTTAGTAGTAAGGAAAGCTGCAGAATAGGGCGTGCTGAATATTTTCTGTCTTGGTCATCCTGAAGCCATAAAAACTTGGAGGAGATTTGGGCTGAGAGCACCTCTGCATTAGTTGACTACCTAATGAAAGCCAACGCCAGAGTATTATCAGATGACACAAGAACATGTGACTATCATGTGACTTGTCTAGCCCTATTACTTTACTTATACAGTACCACTGTTAGCACCCCACACCAAAACATCTATACACTAAGATAGTAAGATAATTTTCAAAATTTATTATCTTAGCAACTAACATAATTCATCATAAAGTGACTGAACTTACAAAGCAATCAATTTTTCTACTGTAGATCTCTACTTTCAAAATTCAATAAAATAATCAAAAAAACTGCTACTAACTTAGCAGTTGAAGATCTACACTAACAGAAGACTTTTAATTATATAATAACTGTTAAAAAGTATAAAATCAACATAACTACATTGACACATTACTTTAAAAATATATTAATTTCTTAATATTGTTAGATATCTGTTCTTATGCCCATTGTTGTTTGGTTACTAATACTCATTGTTGTTTGTTTTTAACATACTTGTTTGTTGATTTCCATTCTTGCTTGTTTGTCTATGTTGTTTATTGTTTGTGGTAGATAAACATTTGTTGTTGTGGACAAATTCCACCATCTTTGTTGTTTTTTCTCAAATTTACACACATCAAAGGAACAATGCATGTAAATCACAATCAGATATAATAAAAATAAGAAGAATTATCTATTTAATAGCACTGTTTGACACAATTACAGCAAATTCACAAAACTACAAGTAGAGTAAGCACTTTCAGCTCTGGAGAATCTTTCTTTTCTTTCTCTGCTTTGTATTTAAGTTTTCTGATTAATCTAGATTGACAAGAATAGTTTTAAGTTCTTCTCTCTTTTCTAAGTTTTCTCTTTATCTAGATATCTTCTCTCTTCTTTTCCATGTATCTAGATAGAGATTTTAAGAAATTTGAACTGTGTCTTAAAAGTGTCATGCTCACTGTAGACTAGATCTGCTTCAAGAGCTAGTATCTTATTAGTTAGCACAGCTTTAATTTCACTAGTACTTAAAAGTCATACAGATACTGATTCTCTTCCACAGAAGATCAGCAATGAGTTCTTCTCTTATTGTGCATATAGCAATACTACTTTGATACTATAAGTGCAACTTAGTTATCTTTCTTACATTGTAGACTTAATATGTTGTTCTATAGCATCTATCTTATAGACTGTCACTCTACAGTTTCCATTAGATTGACTGTTGGAATCTCTTTGAAATTTCAATGAAACAAGACTGAATGTTAATTTCAATTGAGTTGATCCCAATCTCTTCTCAAAATTTAAAAATTAGTTTCAATTAGACTGACTGTTGGGGTCCCTTTGGGATCTCAAGGAGACAAGACTGAATGTCAATTTCAATTGAGTTGATCCCAATTTCTTTCCAAAATTTGAAAATTAGTCCCAATCCCATTTCAAAATATGAAAACAAGTCCCATTCTCTTCTCAGTTTCAAATTTTCTATGTTATGTTGCATTTCTAGATTTTTCTATTCCTAAAACAACTTTAATTTTTTTTCAAACTTTATTTTGAAAGTGTATTTTTACACCAAAATATGACAAAATAGAAAAATTGGCACATCAAGTCAAAATGCATGTATACATTTGTATATGATTTTGATACTAAAAATAGTATAAAATAAGATTTTATTTTAAGTTTAGGGAAATCAGGAATTTCTATCTCTAATTAAATAATTTCAATCTCTTTAAATTAAGTCCCATTCCCATCTCAGAACTTGAAACTTAAGTTTCAGTTCCATTTCAGTTTGAACTATTAAGTCCCAGTCCCATCTCAATTTCCCATTAGTGCATTAGAAATGGGATGTCAGTTGGGAAATTTCTGTCTCTGTGGTCAGTCTAGTTTCAATTTCATCTTAAAATATGAATAAAAGTTCCATTGTCTTCTCAGTTTCAAATTTTATATTTTAAGTTCTATCTCTAGATTTCTCTATTTCTAAAACAACTTTAATTTTTTTTCAAACTTTATTTTGAAAGTGTATTTTTACACTAAAATATGACAAAATAAAAAAATTGGCAAATCAAGTCAAAATGCATATATACATTTGTATATGATTTTGGTACTAAAAATGGTATAAAATAAGATTTTATTTTAAGTTTAGGAAAATTGAGAATTCCTATTTCTAATTAAATAATCTCAATTTCTTTAAGTTAAGTTCCATTTTCATCTCAGTACTTGAAACTTAAGTCTCAGTCTCATCTCAGTTTGAACTATCAAGTTTCAGTCCCATCTCAATTTCTCATTAGTGTATTAGAGATGGAATCTCAGTTGGGAAATCTCTGTCCCTGCAGTCAGTCTAGATAGAGATTTCAAATTTCATTAAACTTAAAATAAAATCTTATTTTATACTATTTTTAGAACCAAAATCATATACAAATGTATATATGCATTTTGACTTAATGTGCCAATTTTTCTATTTTGTCATATTTTAGTGTAAAAATACACTTTTAAAATAAAGTTTGAAAAAAAAATTAAAGTTGTTTTAGAAATAGAGAAATCTAGAGATGGGACTTGAAATATAAAATTTTTAACTGAGAAGAGAATGGGACTTTTATTCATATTTTGAGCTGGAATTGGAACTAACTTTTAAATTTTGGAAAGAGATTGAGATTTGAAATCAACTCAATTGAGATTGACATTCAGTCTTGTTTTGTCAGTCTAGTTTCAAGTACTATCTCAGTACTTGAAACTTAAGTTAAAAAGATTGAGATTATTCAATTAGAGATAGAAATTCTCAATTTTTTTAAACTTAAAATATAATCTTGTTTTATACTATTTTTAGTATTAACATCATATATAAATGTATATATGCATTTTAACTTAATGTATCAATTTTTCTATTTTGTCATATTTTGATGTAAAAATACACTTTCAAAATAAAGTTTAAAAAAAATTAAAGTTGTTTTAGAAATAGAAAAATCTAGAGATGGGATTCAAAATATAAACTTTGAAACTGAGAAGAGAATGGAACTTTTATTCATATTTTGGGCTGGGATTGGAACTAACTTTCAAATTTTCAGAAGGGATTGGGATCAACTGAATTGGGTTTGACTTTCAGTCTTGTCCCATCAAGATCCCAAAGGGATCCCAACAGTCAGCCTAAAGTCTTAGTCTGTTACACAGAGAAACTGTCTTCTTAATAACTTTAAGTGCAGAATGAAAAAACTTACAGAGAGTCATGATTTAATATATGAGAGATTAACTATCATTATTGAAACAGCTTTACTAATAAAATATATGAGAAATAGATCACAGTTGATTGTATGGAGTACAGGGTGAATTTGAGCAAAATCAAGTTTCTACATATCTACATTTTGTGTGGAGTTCCTAGGGCACGCTAAAAAACGCCGAATTTGGCACATTTCGCAATACTTTTGCAAACAACTGTAAGCACCGATGCGGGGCCGGTATTATCCTATAATTACAGACTAAATTTCTCTTGCCAATCTGGACTTTTTTGATAGATTACTCTTACACTCCTTAATTGGGAATTAAATTTTAAAGCACAGCACTCTATATCTATACAAAAGTATCGTAACCCATGCTCAGGACAGATGGGGTCTCTCAGAGAAGACTCTAGACCACATCAAACCCATGTCTTCGATGGCCTCTTATTTGATTTTGATGGAACAATAGTTGATTCAACGGCTGGTTGGTATTCGAAACTTCATTTGGTAATCATGGTTGCTGATGTTTTCCCTGGGTGAAGCTATTGTGAAACACTGGCAAAGGTCAGAGATACGTTCGTTCTGATAGTCAGCAGTTTCTCAAGAGGAAGCAGGTTAGGACTTGAAATCGGAGTTGATCCCGCAGTAATCCTTGCGACATCGCACGGGCGGAGAAGTATTGATGTTTTAAAAATATATGCGCCTGAAAAGGCTTCCTGGGAATGTGGGTAGTCCTTAAAAACTGATACTGCGTTCTAGATTTCCTTAAAATACTTACCATCTTAGGATAATCAGATGTGAGCACGGCCGAAGCTCGAATTCCTAGAGAGTACGGAAGCGACGCCATCGAAATCCCGGGTGCACGGAGTGTTCTGGATGCGCTCAATGATGTGGGAGCGCCCTGGGCAGTAGTCACATCAGGCACAAGAATGCTATTTGATGGTTGGCTCGATGTACTGAAGCTGTCTCGTCCAACTCACGTTGTGGTTGCTGAAGATGTCGAATTTGGCAAGCCACACCCTCGATGCTATCAGCTTGGACGTTCGCGACTTGGATTTGACGATAAGGCCACAATGCTTGTTATCGAGGACGCGCCTTCCGGTGTCAGGGCAGGCAAAGCCGCAGGGTGCAAAGTCCTGGGCCTTGCAACAACCCATGAGTCTGCTCAACTTCAAGCGGCAGGCGCCGACTGGATAATCCAAGATCTTCGTGATTTCAAGTTTACGAGGAACCATGACCACATCGAGGTAGAAATCCAGAATTTGTTATAATACATTTTAAAGTGATACATTTCTTTTTCAAAGCCCCCGCTCCCACCTTGGTCTAGCTCCGGTGGTTCCCTACGTCGAGTCGCATATAAGAGGAGGGCTTGCCACATATTTCCTAGCACAGGACTTTCAGCATATAGTGCAGTACTAACAGTGCGAAACACCCAAAATCTCAGCGGCGCCCAACATCCCTATTATTGCCAAGCAACAGCACAACCACAAAATGTAATTAATTCCATTAAAATGATGGTATTGTTATTATTCCTATTATTCATTATAGTCTTATGGAGTCAGAGACTATGGAGACTACCTGCAAGCCATTCTCATAAAATTTAATCTAATTGCACACAAACAATGATCAACGTCATTGATAAATTAACAAATGAAAAACATACAAAGAGTGTCTGAAGTTCAACTCTGAACAATAACTTAATAACTTTTCTATACAGAAATTTATATATAAATAAAAGCAATTTAAGTTTTTGGAAAATACTTAAATACTCAGTTCTCTTGATTCAGTAATCATTTTGTGTCATTGGTGATGACAATATCAGTATAGGCCTATAGGGTAACATGATCAGTGGAAATATAAATCACTGAATAATTAGGTAGTCTTTCTGGCAATTACCAGTAATGATACTAGTAATGACTAGAATCTGTTAGTAGCCCATGGCCCCATGATAACCTAGCTCACTGAATGCTAGAACTGAGATTACAGAGAATATAGATTTGGATTATTGAGATTTTTAACTATTAAGCTCTGATAATTTCTAGATGAAAATGAGAGCTATCTGATAGCAAAAATTCAGTAACTCTAGTATTGTATTGTAAGAAGATAATATACTTAGTAGATAGTAGTAGATATTAGTTACTATCAGATGCTGCAAGATATGAACTTATAGTATACCTAGTCAGTAGTATAGTTGGTAATTAGTATGTTGATTAGTATATTAGTAGTAACTGATAACTTTACTGAAATCTAGTAGCAGTAATCAGAAGTTATCATCAATCTATGTTATGAAATTATAACTTGCTAAGTTCTGATAATTCAGTTATCATAATTCTTTCTAACAAATCTATTTAGTATAACTCAATTATCAGTCAGCTTGACAGCAAGAGTTAAAGTTTGTGTTATATGAGACCCCCCTACAGTGATTAACAGACTGTAGAATTACTATGCCAAAACAGCACATGTACAGACAGGCTGATAGCTTAGTAATTCAGTGCATTAGACAATTAAGAATACATCAGAAAGCAGCACTTAATATGAAACATCATCAATTCTAAGTCAAATTTAATAAAAATATATTCATTGAAAAGCTCTTGTTTTATTTAGTTATTCTTTCCATTTTCATCTGACAATTCACTGTGGTGAATGGGAAATCTCACATCAAAGACTGAATCATCAGTTTTAACTACTTAGACACTTTGTCTGATCATCACAACACAATCATCTCCACTACATCTCTGAAACATTGAAAATTAATTTCTTTTGTGTTAAAGAATCTATATCCAGGAGGAAAATACTTGCATTTTCAAACTAATTAAGAATTCACTCAGTTTTGATGACCCTTCATCAGTCTTTTACAGTGAAAAGTTTTTGTGTTCCTGACTTACTAAGTCTTAATCAGCAACATCAAAGCTGAATTGAAGTCTGAACTTACATAATTATTCCATCAAACTCTATTATATCTCATCAAAGTGATACAACTGCAGAACACAGCCAAAATTCCAGCAGAACATAGAAATTTAATCACAACTCAGTTAAAACAAAATCTTTTTAAATTTAGTTAAATATTTCTGATTCTCTGATCAATTCTCTATCTTTCTGATATTCTATTGATTTTCTCTGGCCCTGATTTTCACTTCTGAAGAGTCAAAACCATTTGTCAGTTGGGGTCAGCAAAGATAAATTTAACCACAACTCAGTCAAGACAAAATCTCTTCAAAATTGATTTGATATTTCTGATTCTCTAATCAATTCTCTATCTCTCTGATATTCTATCAATTTCCTCCAGCCCTGATTTTCACTTCCAAAAAGTCAAAATCATTTGTCAGTTGGGGCCAACAAAGATAAATTCAATCACAACTTAAACAAAACAACTTTTCTCTCTTTCTTATTTGTCCCAAAGGCATAGACTCTCCCAGTCACTGATCCCTGCATCCATCAGCTAGTGATGGTTAAAATTGCTCTTTTATAGTTAGAATAATCATACTAGGCTTGTTGATTTTCTAGCAAAGAAGAAGGCTTTTTACTTGCATATCATAACAGTTTCTTCCAGTTCTTCTGCAGTTGGAATTTGACTTTGCCTTGAGATACATTAGTGTCTTGCAAAGAAGAATTAGGATTGTAATCTGAGGTTAAAAAGGAACTGAGTTATCTTGAATCTTAGATAGTGGTTCTGAGATTCTGATAAAGTTGCTTGTCACTCTTCAAAAAGACAAGGAGAGATTTTTTCCTGAGCTTAACTTCTTAGATAGACAGAAACAGCACATAAGTCATTCATTTTCTGTGATCAACATAAGATATAGAGACTAAAGTTACACTCTTGAAGTGTGAGACTAGTTGATATATTGAACTGAGATTACAAGTGGTTTACTTAAGTCTTTTCTATTAAAAAGACTTTCAGTTTGACAATTCTCTTGAAAAATTGTTAGTGAGTTCTTTTATTTAAGTACATCTACTCATCTGGCTCTATAAGTTTTCTTTCGTTATCTTGCACCATTTCTCTCAGTTTCAGAGTAATCTTAAAATAAACTCCTCTAATAGTTCAGGAACACCAAACAGAACACAGCACTTAATATGAAACACCATCAATTCTAAGTCAAATTTAATGAAAATATATTCATTGGAAAGCTCTTGTTTCATTTAGTTATTCTCTCCATTTTCGCCCGGCAATTTACTGTGGCAGGTGTGAAATCTCACACCAAAGACTGGGTCGCCAGTTTTGACTACTCAGGCACTTTGCCTGGTCACCACAATCCAACCACCTCCACTACAGCTCTGAATTGTGGGAAATTGCTTTCTTTTGTGTTAAAGAATCTATATCCAAGAGGAAAATACTTGCATTCTCAAACTGATTAAGAATTCACTCAGTTTTGGTGGCTCTCCATCAGTCTTTCACAGTGAAAAGTTTTCATGTTCCTGGCTTACTAAGTCTTAATCAGCAACACCAAAGCTGAATTGGAGTCTGAGCTTACATAATTTTTCCACCAAACTCTATTATACCCCATCAAAGTGGTACAACTGCAGAACACAGCCAAAATTCTGGCAGAACATAGAAATTTGATCACAACTCAGCCAAAACAAAATCATTTTAAATTCAGTTGAATATCTCTGATTCTCTGATCAATTCTCTATCTTTCTGATATCCTATCAATTTTCTCCGGCGCTGATTTTCACTTCCAAAAAGTCAAAACCATTTGCCAGTTGGGGTCAGCAAAGATAAATTCAACCACAACTCAGTCAAGACAAGATCTCTTCAAAATTGGTTTGATATCTCTGATTCTCTGATCAATTCTCTATCTCTCTGATATCCTATCAATTTTCTCCAGCCCCAATTTTCACTTCCAAAAAGTCAGAACCATTGACCAGTTGAGATCAGCAAAGATAAATTCAATCACAACTTAAACAAAACAACTTTTCTCTCTTTCTTATTTGTCTCAAAGACATAGACTCTCCCAGTCACTGATCCCTGCATCCATCAGCTAGTGATGATTAAAATTGCTCTTTTATAGTTAGAATAATCATACTAGGCTTGTTGATTTTCTAGCAAAGAAGAAGACTTTTTACTTACATATCATAACAGTTTCTTCCAGTTCTTCTGCAGTTGGAATTTAACTTTGCCTTGAGATACATTAGTGTCTTGCAAAGAAGAATTAGAATTGTAATCTGAGATTAAAAAAGAACTGAGTTATCTTGAATCTTAGATAGTGGTTCTGAGATTCTGATAAAGTTGCTTGTCACTCTTCAAAAAGACAAGAAGAGGTTTTTTCCTGAGCTTGACTTCTTAGATAGACAGAAACAGCACATAAGTCATCCATTTTCTGTGATCAACATAAGATATAGGGACTAAAGTTACACTCTTGAAGTGTGAGGCTAGTTGATATATTGAACTGAGATTACAAGTGGTTTACTTAAGTCTTCCCTATCAAAAAGACTTTCAGTTTGACAATTCTCTTGAAAAAGTGTTAGTGAGTTCTCTTATTCAAGTACACCTACTCATTATTATTATTATTATTATTATTCATTATAGTCTTGTGTAGTCTGAGACTATGAAGACTACCTGCAAGCTGTCTTGCAGGATTTAACTAAGTTACAAAAACAATGATCAGAGACATGATCATAGACACATTAACAAATGAAAAACATACAATAGTGTCAGGGCAGTGATTTATGTCTTTCCTCCACAGAAATTTGAGAACAAATAATGAGATTGTAAGTGAGATCTTTAAAGATACTCAGTCTGTTTCATTCAGAAGCCATCTTCTGGTGACTATTCCAGTTTGTTTGAGAAACTTTCCCATCTATTTCAAACCCAATTCAGTGTTAAATAGAAACTCAAGTGACAGTTGTGGAATTTTAAACTCTTTCAAACACTGTTGTCTGTCATCTTTCAGACTTAAACAATCCATGAGCAAATGTTTTGGTGTTTCTTTGCAGCCACAGTGTCTGCAGATTTTCCTATCATGATTTGGTAGTCTTATTAAGTAAGAACCAAAGTAACCATGACCCAATTTCAACTGAATAATTGTTGAC